TGTTTCACCTTTCATCTGGTCATTAAAGTCTTTTGCGTGTTTTGCAAACTCATCGTCCTTTCCTAAAGCATTTTCTGACTCAGTCGCAACCAAATTGGATGCTTTATTTATGAGCCCTATTTTATTTAATCTTAACTTCTTTGCAACCCAGCCTCCAATCTTTCCTTTATTTGCATCTAATGTCTTCGAAACCCTTCCTCCACTCATTTTATTTACTGCGTCATAAGCTCCAAGTGCTTTTGCTCCAAATGCTAATGCTTTTGTTCCCATTGCGCCTAAAGCTGCCAAGCTACCATTTACACCATATTAAAATCATCTCTCTTCAATATTATCTCATAAAGTTCTCGTTACTGGAGAAAGTCAATGAAACATAAACATTCTCACGGGCTTCGCCCTCACCGCTTTGCGGTCTATCTAACTTTTCTTATATCATCTATACGCTTCAAAATGTCTGAACAATTGCTAACATCTTCTACAACAGTTATTTCATCATGAATGACCTTCAAGAACAAGCTCATTTAATATGCTATTAAAATCATCTCAATAATGAGTCCATCCTTTCCATCTTTAGGTAGCACAACATCTTTCATTGAAGAAGGTTCGACAAGTCTTATGTTAAACTTACTGACAAAGTTTGTTATACTATAATGCTTCGGCGGCGAATACATATAGTTTGAAAGACATAATATAGATTCTTCAGCAAATTCACTTATACTGGATTTTATAACAATGTTCTCACGAGACCAAATACCACCAATTGACAATCTTGTAAGCAATCCTGCTGAACCTTCAACTGTAAACGTCGATGGTAACATTCCACGAAGGTCATCTATTGACATCGTTGAGTCACTGTATTTAAATATTTTCTTAAAGCAATCGTCATTATCTAACCATGCAATAGCTTTGAAGTTTTCATTCGAATATACATCTGCTTCATTAAATGTAAAACCTGACTTCTTTGCAGAGATGACTTTAAAATCTATTGAGTTTGTTTCAAAATTATATGCTATGGTAACTTCTGAAGGTAATGGATGTCCTTCCGCAGTCAGTTGTTCTCTCACTACCGTTTGAAGCTTTGTGTTAAAAACTTTCATGTCATCTCCTGTGTCTAGGTTCACATACACAGCAACAGGGAAACTATCTTGCTTCTTTGTTTCATCATTATATCTCAAAACATTAAAGTTCTTCAATAATATTGTTCTTCCTGCTGGAATACTTCGAACCTGTCTGATTTCAATAGCTTTCTCACCTCCTACATACTCTACCCAGTGTCTTGGATATTCATAAGTATACTGACTTTCTTGAATTTTGGTTGGTTTCATCATAACATGTTCATAGTATATATTTATACTCTTGTCAGTTAGACTCGGTGCTATGTTCTGAATATTTCTGACTTGCATTTTTAATGGAGATAAAATGAAGCATTTAATACATGACGTAGATGAAGACATGAATGAAACTACAGACAAACTTAACTCTTCTCTCATTCTTCCTTTCAGTAAGGACTATGAGTTCTGTTCAAATGGCGTTTATTTCTATTGTGGAAAGATGGGGTCAGGAAAGACATTTAATTTAATTCGTCATATTCTTATAACAGAACGTTTAGGAAATGACTCATATTATGACCAAATCATTATATCAGCAACTTCAGACTCTATGGACTCAACAGCGAAAACATTTATGTCAAAAGTTCAAGCCTCTGTCGTTAAAGTTCCAGATAGCGAACTCATTGAATTTCTTCAACGTAACATTCGACGTAAGAGAAAATATTATGCCATCGTAGAGTTCATACAGTCAGGAATGCAAAAGACTTCAGAAGAGATGGAAAGAATTATTGACAAACACCACTTACGTCAATACTCAGGAGTTTACGATATGAAACGACTTACAAACTACATTCTATCAAAACTTTCAAAATACCCCTTCAAAAAATATCCTTCAAACACTCTGCTCGTTTGCGACGACTTCGCCGGAAAAGGTTTAGTGTCAAAACCAGACTCACCATTAGCTAATATCATTACTAAAGTCAGACATTACCATTTAACTGTAGCAATACTTATGCAAACATGGAGGTTTTTAGCTTTAAACATAAAACGTCTCATAACTGACTTCGTTATCTTTCAAGGTTTCTCACGCTATGACATTGAACTCATTTGGAAACAGTCAGGTATAACATTACCTTTTGAAGAAATTTGGAAGCATATAAGTCTCTCATCTCTCCTCGTTCATACCTTGAGATTCATATCATGACTAATACCATTAAAGTCAAAAATATTCCATGGGAACGACCAACATTGTTTTAAAGCTTAACCTTCAATTGACTGATGGTAAACAAATTCCATGCATCTCTGTCGCCATTTCTGTTAATATTTTTGCTGTCATTCATATCATCCACTTCCCATCCGTTAGCTTTTGAGGATATGCGTTAGAATAGCTGTTCTTAAATGAAGGCTTTTCACCTTTGAGAGCATAAACTCTATAACTTTCTGCATACTTTATGTTTGAACCTCCTGAGCCATCATTGACATAAATTTTTATAGGCTTCCACCCTTTGTTCATGTTCCTGCTTCTTCCCTTAGCTCTTTTGTTCAGTAGTTCTACATCTTTATACACAGCACCTGTCTCAGTGAATTCAACAATATTTTCATTCGTTAGCTTTGCATTCAAACCCTTGTCGAGTATATTGTTCATTTCATACATATAAAAGGTTTTTATTCTATATGAAATGAGAAGCAAATCCATCTTAGCTGGTGCCGTTAATGTTCCAATTGAACAACATCAAATGTTGACTCACGAACGACAAACAATATTGTCATAAAGAACTATAGTTCAGAGTGTTTGAAAGAACCAGAACCAGAGCTGAAATCCGTGAATTTAAACTCAGCTTCAAACGCTAACGCTACATCAGATGTTAAGTTAGAGTATCCACCACTGGACCAAATTCTTTCAAGAGAAGCCAACGACAATCCTTACACAAATGTTCAAACAAATCCTTCAGATAACGTAGACCATTACCTTCTTCAGTTATACCAAACAATTTTACTCAAAGACGATAAGAAGCTTTTGGTAAATCTTATAAGCAAGAACCAAATAATTCTAACAAAGGAGGACCTTGAAAATGTTATATCACGAATAACAGGGAAACAATGTGTCATTGACTATCTCGACCCTGAAATCGAATGCTGTGGTCAAACGCCACCATTCATGAAAATAGGTAACATCCGCATCATTGAAACACCAGGAACTACAGGAGTTGAGTTAAGTATAAATATTCGAACGAGTATACAAAACTTTCAACAGAATATAAACTTTGCTTGAAATATGTTTTAGTAAATTAAAGCAATTTGTAATATCTATCCAAACTTCTTCAACAGTATCGAACTCATCTTCATAATGCAAACCTAATCTTATTGACTTGGTGCAGTTTTCACTAACACAATATTTTTCTGTTCTCTTGACTGACATAACTAACTCATTTTGTTTCATCAAACAGCAACAACCAAAGTTCATGACCTAATACATAACATTCATACTTTATATTTTTAGCTCTGAGTTCTCTTGTAAGCTGTTGCATTTAATTTTTCTAAAAAGTCAACTTCAACAGTCATTCGCACTGGTACTTCAGTTCTACAGGCTCTCCTTGAAAGTCAACAAGTCTGAATTGCATGTCTTTCAAATTATGAGGACTAATGCGAACCCATTTACCTAAATGAGTTGCTATGACAGGAACGTTTGGAATGAACATTGAATTGACTGCATAACAGAAGGATTTATATTCTACTGAACTTTACTTAACTCCTGAAATGCCTGTGACATTAGCTATTTTAGACTCAATGTATAAACAATTACCATAACATACGTATGGAACAGATTTCATCTCAATCGTTTTGTCAACACTTTTCAAAGGAAATGTCATATGGTATGCACCCAAAAGAAGTTGTACTCTATGACTCATTCTTGGTATCTTAAACTCCTTCACATAACTGAACTTCAAAACTCCTGCAATAAGTTTAACATTCATTAAGTTTTCTTCGTTATCCTTGTTTATTGTAGTATTTATGAGAGCATTTAACACTCCAGCTAATGTTTCCATCTTATATTCTACATTATTGTGAAATCTTATTTCGTGCTTCTTTCCATCTATTTCAATCTCCATGAAATCTGTTTCATCTGTTATAACGAATGAAGCGATAGTATTGAAGTCAACCATTCTGAATGCAAGCGCCTCATTCTGTAGACCTAAGTTTGTTTGTAGCTTTACTGTCCCGTATTCGTTTGGGTCTGTACTTTGCAAATAGAACAACATTTTATTCTCATTAAAATATGAGTATAGCTGCATATGCGTATGAAGCTGATAGAGCTAAACGTTTATATTTTGGTCAATACTCTCTCACACTTACTGACAAATATATTGTTATCACTGATGGAAATACTGAGAAATACATAACATGGAAGGACTATGAAAAGTTTGACCCTATTTTAACTCCATGTACTATGCCGTTTATAAAGGACGGTGAAATTATTGAAAAAGATAATACAACCGTATATAGGTCTGTTTATGAAGCATTAGAATATATGTTGAATCATAACCCAAAAAGATTTGACCCAAGCACTACACCATGTGCAATGCCTTTTATTAAGGACGGTGAAATCGTAAGAGTTCCGGATTCAACGGTTTATATGCTTCTAAAGAAGGTGAGCCAAAAACTATTGATAAAGCGGTGTATGAAATAAAAGCATCAACGACGAAATTGAATTCGTTAACTTTTGACGGTGATAGTTCCGTTAATGACATAACATCAGGGAAAACGATTTTAACGAAAGAATATTTAAAATCTCATGTTAGTGAGTTCGTTGAAATTGAAAAAGAAGGTGGAATTAAGTTCGATCCACTGAATTTCATTTTCAGCTTAGCGAATGCAGGTATTAATTTTGCTGAATGGACAACTATACAGAGTGAAATAAATGCAATATGGACGTTTTTGGGGTCAAAAGCGGGAATGAGTGAGCTTGTAAATGCTGCAAGAACATTGGGTGAAACAGGAAATTTTGTAGATGGTTTTAAAAGACTTGTTTCAAATGTTTTGACAAACACAAAGAAATTATTTAGATATACCGTACATAACGGACGGATTTTCGAACAGATAGCAACAAACCCTCCGGTTATGGCTGCGTTGATGATGGTTAGAGATATAAAACCACGTAGCGGTGAGGGCGAAGAACATGAACAACAGGATACTGGTCGGGTTATTAGAGACATTAAAAACGTGTATCCTGAAGTTATTGATTTATTTAGAGGAGTTAATGATTCAATTTCAAAACATTCTATAACCCTCGATGAAGAGAATAAATTAACAGATTATATATTCGTCATTATTGCAGAATTAATGAAGAGAATAAATGAAAAAGGAATTGGTGATATCATTAATGTCAGCGATGTAATGATGAAAAGAAATTTTGACTCATTATTTACAGAACCGAAAACAGAATATAGTCTTTATGATGTAATTACCGAATTAATGAAAAAGATTAATGATAATAAGAGTTCTGGTGGAAGAGTTGAATTAGAAATGAATGATGTTAATGAGAAAACAGCCGAAAAAGCAGATAAAAATGAACTTTTAGTTCTAAGTGATAAAGTCAAGAACCATGTTCATTATATGACTTCAGATGAACAGATTATAACGGACTACCATGAATATTTAACACAAACCGATGAAGAAGTGAAGACGGAAGACCCCAATGAAAGAAGATATAAATACATTCGTGCTAAAGGTTATAACATAAGCTGTACTGTACAGTATGACACGGGTAAAGCACAAGAAACATTTAGTTATAACGATGAAATATATGCTTCATACTTCTCTGTTAATGGTGTATTAGTTGAACCAAAATTTACATTGAGAGTTAAGGCAAAAATAACGTTTGAAGATGCTATTAAAAGTAAAGCTGACAAAGTTGAACTTGAAGCAATGAACAAAGTTTTGAGATCTCATAAACACAACATCTCCGATATAAATGAACTTCAAGCTACATTAGACAGTAAAGCTGACAAGAACCATACACATAAATCCTTCACTACTGTTAGAGCAGACGACATAATATTGAACTATGATTTGGGTTCAAGTGCACCTTTAGAGAATCCGAGTACAAGCGTAAAAGATACACTAAACAATTTAGATAACAGATGTATGAACATTGAAGGTCATGCCAGAAACTTTGAAGCATATGAACTACCAGCAATGTTAGATAAGAAAGCAGACAAAACAGAGCTTCAAACATTAAAGACTGAAATACTTCAAACATTATATCCTGTTGGTTCTTTATATACGTCAATGAACTCAACAAATCCAGCAAGTGTTTTAGGTTTTGGTGCATGGGAACAAATAGTCGACAGGTTTTTGTATTGTGCAAACTCTTCAAAGGAAACAGGTGGAAGTAAAACGATTTCAGGTGAAAATTTACCTGCACACAGTCACTACATAGATTTAAGTACATCTCAAGCAGGTTGGCATAAGCATAGATATTGGGATTGGTCAGGAATGACAAAAGGTAAAGGATATGATGTTAAAGACGACGTTAAGTTTGCTATAAATTGTTACTGGAGTGACACTCAGGGAGAAGGAAACCATACACATTTCGTTTCAGGATATACACAAACAACGGGACAAAGTAAAGAATACATGCCACCATTAATGACTGTATTCGCATGGTATAGAGTTCAATGAACGCGCTTGAGCCTTGAATAAAATCTTTAACTTTACATAAATGAGCTTGAAAGAAGTATTCGAACAACATCCATGGAGGTCATTTAAGAAGTTCAATGAAGCTGCAAAGAGTTGGGGATTTACTAACAGAGCTGAAGTGAAAAGGTTCTTTGACAAAAATGTTGTACATCAAACAAAAATAAACCCTTACGACTACTTTTTACCAATTTACTCCAACACTCCTGACGCATACCAATTTGACACTCTCATTCAAAGCAGAAAAGGAGGACATAAACCATTCCTCATCTTCATTAATGTTAACACTCGTAAAGCTTTTGCGTATATAATGAAAAATAAAGGAACAAAAGAAGTTTTAAGAGTTTTGCAGACGTTCGTAGCAGAACATAGCCCAAGTACTTTAACATCAGACCAAGACAGTGCATACCTCAGCAATGAAATCACAGATTTTCTCATTAAGCATAACATAACTCACTACACTACTGAAGACCATAACCATAACATACTCGGCATCATAAACCGCTTCATAAGAACGCTCAGAGATTTAAATCAAGAGCGAGACTTTACCGAAGAAACAATGAAACATTTTCTCGAAGTATATAATTCCTCAACACATTCTACAACAGGACATACACCAAATTCAATGACACAACAACAAGAAGAAAAGTATATACAAAAGAAACGAAGCCAAACACAAAATATCAGAAATTCAACACAATTTACCCTCATTCCTGGTACAAAAGTTCGTGTAGTTCTTGACGACAAACCGTTGACAAAGAAACGTTTAAGGTTAAGTAGAAACTATTATATCGTAGACTCTACGCAAGGTAATGGATATCTTATAAAAGCTGCCGACGACTCTATTGCGTTTTACCCTCGTTACAAATTAGTCGAAAGTAGTAATGGCAAACTTGCTGAAACCATTGACGAAGCAAAGCGAGGAGTGGTTATTGAAATACTTGACTATAACATAAACGATGGCACTTATAAAGTAAGATATGAAGGAGGCGTTGAAGATGTTATACCATCTAAGAACTTGAGAGAGTCAAAGCCAACTCATCTGGGACCATTAGAGCGGGAGTATTGGAAAGACAAAAATAAGCCAGAAAGAATAAGAAAATTCTTCTAAACTTTTTCATTAGATGTAAATCAGACATGAATGAGAACAGTCATGATATCATTAATGGTACCATTTATTTTAACATAAATGACCTAAATTTATGAATTTTCATGAATTTTATATATTAATGTTTTCATTTATGATTTCGTAAATGTTTTCAGTGTCACCACGTCACCATGTCACCAGGTTAATTAACTTCTCTTAAAATTACTGACAACATGACATTTTGACAACAGTCATGAAATCATTAATGGTACCATTTATTTACACCAAAAATAATGTTTAGGTGAAGAGGTGAGATCTCACCTGTTTTTTCACCCTCGCCGCTTAGCGGCTCAGACCCTTTGGGTCTCACGAATTTTCATGAATTTCCTTAAGATAGAAAAATAAAGTTAGTTTTATTTTTATTTATTTTTTTATTTTGTATAAAAGATATGATTTCAACAATCGGTACAACAACAATTCAAACTACAGCACCAAACTCGTTAGTTATGAATCCTACGTCAATGTTAGTAGAGATGAAAAGCTTTATTCCTTCTTCATATACTTTTGAAACAGAAATCCAGAAGATAAAGCAAGAACTTTTAACAAGTAATTTAGACTGTAGTGCGAAAGATGAAACAAATGAACAGTATCTTTATGACATGCAGGATATTATTGACCATTTGCCTAAACTACCTGAAGTTCAGCAGCAAAAACTAACTATTCCTGAATTCGACGAAATTGAAGTCAAAGCAACTGACTCAGTAGAAATAAAGAAATTCATACGTAAAGTAAATTATGAATTCCTTGGTTTTCATTGCAACCATAAAGTTATGGACAAAGATTGCGACATGGTTTATAAAAATATTTCTGACATATATAAATCGGTGGAGTTTAAGACATACGACAACTTTGTTTCATTAGTTGCTGAATGTGTTTGGGAAATAAGAGATAAAGATAGAAGAGACAAAGTATGGAACGAACAAATAAGACCCGCTATGTTTGAGATGAAGAGAGCAATTGACGCTTTAGTTGTTTTAGCTGGTAATGTTTCAATGTATAACGCAAAAACGATGCCGCAATGTTCAAAATGTAAAGCAGCAATAAGAAAATATAACTACTCAGTCAAAGAGATAGAAAGAATGCGAAACGACTATGCAGACTTAAAGAAAGAAGCAGAAAAGCCAGCAGAAGATAAAATGGATATGTTGACATTTCTTAATAAAAACTATCCAACAGCAGAAGATTTCCTTCTGTCTGACGTCAAGAAGAAATATAAAGAGACTTTCGGCACGATTAAAACATTCGATGTACTAAAAGAAGAAATTGAAGCTACGAAATTGTTTAGGATTTCAAATATACATCGTACAATTCATGTAAAACGCTTGTGAAAAAAGAGGTGAAAAAACGGGTGAGATCTCACCTCTTCACCTAAACATTATTTTTGCTGAAAAATGACCAAATTTCATGAATTTCATTAGTTAGAAAAATAACGCTAATTTTTTCTAAGAAAAATTTTTATTTTGTATGTAAAGACAGTAATGTCAAACATTGAGTTTGAAACAGTTAGAAAGATAGACAATGACACCAAAGTGGTTAGAATTGGTGATTTAAACGTAAGATACTCAAAGAAATACAACAAATATTCTTTGTCAGACATTATATCTCCATCTGGAAAGAAAACAAACGACTGGGTTAGAAATGCTTCAACTCAGAAAATTTTGACAAGAAATCCTGAGCTTATGATATCAGTAGCATTTCATGGAACAAGAGCATATCTTATAGACAAAAGTCTTATACCAATAGTTTTGTTATGGATTGACCCAGTTGTTGGATATAACTTCATAACTTATGGTTCATTCGATACGGAACGTTGCAGTGAAGGCTTACTTTACATCGTTCAGAAACCGAAGGACTTCAATACAAAGAGATATAAGATAGGAAGGACATATAATATAACTCAAAGATATGACTCTACAGTCAATAGAGTCAAGGTTGTGTTTGTTAATGATATGAGAGCTGCTGAAACAGAACTGCTTGAAGTTTTTGAGAAAATGTATGGTGCTCCCACGAAAGGTAAAGAAACGTTTGAAGTAGATGAGATAGATAAAGCTATAAAATTATTTGACGAAGTTGCTGAAAAATACATGTAAAGCGTTTATTTTTGGTCTTTTGTGAAAGTCAGAAAATAACGCTAATTTTTTTCTAACAAAAATTTTTATCTTGTATGTAAAGACAGTAATGTCAACATCAGAGAACACAACAATTGCTATCTTTCATGAAGCCATAAATGAAGAATACGAATACATACAGTATAACAAACAATTGAGACTCATTCGTTCAGTCAAAGATGACATGTACCAAATGCAAAGTATAATGAACGCTCTTCGTTCTACAAAGCAAGCATATCATTGGTTTGAAAACCAACAGACAAAAGAACTTTTAGAAGAATTTCCTCATATGATTGCTTCCCTCGGAAAACCGAGAGAAGAGATTCCGTACGAAAATCGCAAGAATTTGGCTCCTGGTTTGAAAGGTTATTATGTTCATAGACTTTTAGTAAATGCTGTAGCAATGTGGGCTTCACCTCGTTATGCTTGTTATATTTTCATGATGTTAGATGAACTATATAAAGCAGAACGTGGAGAGATGGAAAAGAAACTTCAAGCAAAAGATGAAGTCATTGAATCCAAAGACAAAAGCATACAGAAAAGAATACCGCGTTCAGTACCAAAAGGAAAGGAAAAGAGTTATAAGTATATGATTTATACTGAAGAGTTGGAGAAAGAAGAAGATAAAGATATGGTTATGTTGCATTTAGTCAGAAGAAACAACAAGAGCTTTTATGACTTAGCTAAAATATATAAATCTGACAGAAACTGGTTCTATTGTGAAAACTTACCGATTTCAATGACTCCGAATGAACAAATAAAGGAAATTGTCAAAATACTCTTCCTCAAACACACTATGACATCAAAGGTTGCACAATACTTACATTCAAAGAAGACTTAACATTACTGAAGGAAAAAATAACAGAATATTTCGACAACTTCAAAGAGGAAGAATGAAGTCACGACAACATTAACGAAGAGAGAATGAGGTGAAAAAGAGGTGAAAAAACGGGTGAGATCTCACCTCTTCACCTAAAATATATTTTTGTGCTATATTTACACTCATTTACGAAGAAGTCATGAATCCTACGTCAATTATGTTCGACACTGATAACATTAACGATAACATAAACGATAACATAAACGATAACATTAACGATAACATAAATGCTCCATGTCAATTATGTTCGACACTGATAACATTAACGATAACATAAACGATAACATTAACGCTAACATAAATGCTCCATGTCAATTATGTTCGACACTGATAACATTAACGATAACATTAACGATAACATAAACGATAACATTAACGATAACATAAATGCTCCATGTCAATTATGTTCGACACTGATAACATTAACGATAACATTAACGATAACATAAACGATAACATTAACGATAACATAAATGCTCCATGTCAATTATGTTCGACACTGATAACATTAACGATAACATAAACGATAACATTCATTTTTGCATTAATCCTGCTGTGTTGTCAAAATGTCATGTTGTCATCATTTTTAAAAGAAGTTAATTAACCTGGTGACATGGTGACGTGGTGACACCATCAGTTCTTCAAAAATATATTTTTGCTTAAATAGCTTCAGGGTCTATTTCTTCAACCATTTCACTTCCTTCGTCAATGTCAATAGAAGCTTCTTCAACCTTTGGTAAGAATTTCTGTATAACATCTTTGTTCGTTATTGTCTTCAGAGATGAAGGATAATATTTCACAGATGTTTCACCCTTCTTATATTCTTTCTGTTCGGAAAGATTTAAAGCAATACTGAAGAAGTCAACGTTAGAGTTCTTTATGACAGTATAATGAGTATCTTTGACATTCACGAAGAAACTCTTTTGTTTCAAAACTACTGCTAACTCTTGTGAAGTATAACGTTTGCGGTCAATGACGATAGCTAATGGTCTGACATACTGACCAAACTTAGATTCTTTCACAAACTTCTTGTTAAAGATAACATTAACATTTGAAGCGTTACTGAACTCATTCTTGATGGCAGTAGCGAGAGCATTGTATGAAAAGAACTTGCAATCTTGCATGTGTTTCATTAAAATAAAAATATTAAATTATTTTGAAAAATAACTTAAAAAAAATCTAATCTAATTTTTTCAAAAAATATTTTTTTATTTCCTACTAAAGATGTATCGGAAGTTGTCTAAGTTAGAACACTCGGAAATAAAACAACTTCTTACAGAAGCTAACATAGAAGTAGCAAAACATTACGCAACAAACAAAAAAGCACTCGCTGACATCCTCAAAGACTACAATGGTGCAATAAGTTATGATAGAATTCATGAGTTCATAAAGCCAACGCGGCGAGGACGAAGTCCATGCAAGAGCATTTCCTTTAAATGACGTTGCTATTGACTTATATCATAGACGTTCAGTACCTCATGAAGTAAGAAGAGAAATGTTTGACATAACAAATGCAAACGTTGGTGAAACAAGAAGAAGAGACGACACACTGAAACAACAGAGAAGAGAGATGTTTAAAAGTGCTATAGAACAAGTTCGCAAAGCTAACGATGTCATTCGTTCCATTGACGACAAACCAAAAGAAGGTGAGAGATGGTTAAAGAAAGATGAAGAGAATAGGAAGAGAAATGTGAAGTCAGGCAATAGACTCATTGACTTTAACATCGAAGCTTTAGATGAACCAAACAGAGACTACTTACACAAACATTTCGGTAAGGTTTTCATGAGACTCTTAGAGAAGATTAAAATAAACTCCCAACAAAGATGGATGGTATGTTATAAACTTGGTGGAAAGTATGAATGTTCTACGTTAAACCTCAATAATATTGGAACATTACTACATCAGCTCTTGAAGGAGAACTTTATATCAGAGATAGAAGCAAATGCTGCAGGTATTGTTGAAATGCACTATGACTTCTTCTTGACAAACATAAAGAATCTTACCGAAATAAAGATGTATGATTTAACAGAATATGAAGGCTTAATGATGTCAGATGTAAAGAAAGGCAAACCAAAAAAGAGACCATATAGAGATGAAAGCACACTGACAAATGACCAGAAAGCCATTTTGGAAGTTCTTAAGCAAACAGGAAACCCAGCACTTATAGAAAGCTTTTGGAAAGATAATGGTGAAAAGAAGTTTTATAAGAAGAGAAGCGGTCAGTTCTGGAAGTATCTTTGCACATTACCTATAAATCTTGAACGCTACCAAATCTTCAATGAACTGAACAAAAGAACTGCAACACTTATGACAGAGGACAATTGTTTCGTTTATGCTTGCATTCAGGCTGGAGTAAATGAAGAAACTATTGACCACATGAGAGAAGTCATTCGTGTTAGAGACTTTCCTCAAAGTAAAGTACAAGAAATTTCTGATGCAACAGGTATAGCATTTAATGTTACCATTGGTTACTTCAATGACTCAAGACATAATGAAATAAAGAGATACATACCAAAAGAATGTGAAACTGTTAGAACTATTGACTTACTTCTTGTTGAAGACCACTACATGCTAAATGAAAGATTACCAATGACAACATATTTCGTCAGAAATTACAAAGAAATTCTCAAAGCTTGTGGTGGAATGAACATTGAGAAACAAATGAAGATTTATACAAAGAGAGAAGATAAATATGTAGTTCGTTATGATAGAACAACACCGTTATGGGATGTTATGAAAACATTGTGGGAGTGCAAATATTTCGAACCTATTTCTTATGGAGAACTTTTCACATATACGACTGACTTATATAAACAGAACCTTGCACCATTTAAAGATTTGACATATGCTCCAAAGTATTGTGTACAACTGAAGAAGAAAGCCGAGTCAAAAGAAGTAAATAAAAATAAGTGCAAGTTCATTCCTGAGCACGTTTTCTTTGCTGACTTTGAGTGCAGTACCGATGGCTTTCATAAAGCTTTTAACATATGTTATGACAGTGAAGATGGTTCAGTGAGTGAAAGCATATGGGGTCAGAACTGTGCAACAGAATTTTTGGAACGACTTCCTGACAAGAGTTTAATATATTTCCATAACCTCAGTTATGATATAAACTTCATCTTAAGACACATAACAGAAGTGAAAGGAACTCCCATCATTAAAGGTTCACGAACAATGCAAATAACTGGCTTATATAAAGGAAGGGCAATTATTATAAAAGACTCTTACAGTGTTATAAATAAGAAGCTTAAACTATTTCCTGCTATGTTTAACTTACAAACAGGACCGAAAGAAGTATTTCCTTACAACTACTACAGCAGTGTTTTGTTAGCAAATGACAACAGAACTGGTGTCATTTCTGAAGCATGTAAGTTTATCCGGGATGCAGATACATTCATGAAAAACATAGATTCCATCAAAGGTTGCAGAATAGATGAGAACCACTTCGACTTAGAAAAGTATAGCACATTTTATTGCAAACAAGATGTAAGAATTTTAAGAGAAGGTTTTGTTAAGTTCCGCAATGACATATTGAAAGAATTTGATTTAAACGTTTATGACTACGTTAGTATTTGTTCAATTGCTAACAAATTGTTTGAGAACAGAGTGTACTTCCCGAATGGAAATTTATATGACCTCTCAAATAAACCAAGAGAATTTATTTCGAGATGCATTCAAGGTGGAAGATGTATGCTGTCAGATAACATTAAACAAAAGAGCGAAAAGAAACTCATTGCTGACTTCGACGCTGTTTCATTATACCCTTCAGCAATTGCAAGACTCTATACTTTAGAAGGTATACCGAAAGTATTGAAGGAAGAAATGTTAAGCACAGAGTATCTCATGAGACATTTATTCAATGACGACCAAAAGGAACCCATTGGTGAAAAGTTTATGTCTGGCTTCTTTGTTCTCATTAAGATAACAGAGATTGGAATACATAGACACTTTCCTTTAATAGTTTGTGACCCTGAACTAAATCCAGAACTTAACGTTCCCAGAAGTTCAAACACTTGCTGTTTAATGTATGTTGACCATATAACATTACAAGACCTCATAAAATATCAAGGTGTCAAATGTGAAGTGTTGCAAGGATACTATTACGATGGAAACAGAGATATTAGAATAAGAGATGAAGTAAAGAAGTTGTTTGAGTTAAGGTTAAAGTATAAGAAAGAAGGAAATCCTTTGCAAGAAAATATAAAGCTCATTCTGAACAGTATTTATGGCAAAACTATTCTATCTCCTATTGAGTCAAAAATAACCATAGTAAATGACAAAGATGCTATAAGATATGCCATCAGAAACTACAACCATATAGTGAAGTTCGAAGGTTTGGATGGTTCAGATAAAACTATTTTCAAGCTAACGAAAAGCATTTGCAGACACTTTAACTTCTGTCCACTTGGTGTTAACATTCTGTCTATGTCGAAGAGAATAATGTGTGAAGTATTCTGTACTGCTGAGGACTTAGGAATGGACATCTTTTATAGCGATACCGACAGTATGCATCTCTACAATGAAGATATCCCTCGTTTAGCTGAAGAGTTTGAGAAACGTTATGGAAGAGTTCTCATTGGTAAAAACCTTGGTGAATTTCATAGCGACTTTGCAGAAATCACACCTGGAAAACAAAGTTTAGTATACAAGTCAATATTTTGTGGAAAGAAGACTTACATAGACTTACTCACGAATGATTTAAATGAAGTTGCATTTCACTGCAGAATGAAAGGCGTGAAGCAAGATGTTATTGCTTTAACCGCTAATGAAATGTTTCCTGACTCTGTTCAGTGTTTCTATGATGAAGATAAAGGTTTAATGGTTCCGCAAGGAACATATGACAAAGACTCTGAGTTCAGTTTAATGAAACTTTACAAAGCACTTCATGATGGTCAAGAGATTGGATTTGACTTATGTAAGTCTTCTAGTCCTTGCTTTGCTGAAAAGTTTAACTTCTCAATAACGACTAAAACAAGCTTTATTCGTAAGTTGAAGTTCTGAGGTCATTTATTTTTGTCAGCAATGAGGTCATTCGTGATAAAAATAATGAGGTCATTTACAATACTGCGATGGTAGAGTTTAAGAGTTGTGCTTCAATGTAGAGACAGTCCTTATGGTCTGGAGGTAGCAAAACAGGTGCTTTATGGTCATGAGTGGAGAACATGTCTATCCAAAACTCACGATTGAAGCCAGTTAATTTATAGTATTTAGGGTTAGGAAGTGGTGAAGTTCTTGTATGACCAATGAACTCATTTTCAACTCCCTTACTTAAGTTTGAATATAATATAGCTTGCTTTCTATCCCAAATACCTGGAAATCTAATTTCGGAAAATTCATTTTTCCTCGGAAGCATTGCATCATAATTGAAAACATTCTTGAAATCATCACTTGGTTCAGAGATTTGAAATCTTATACGTAATGGATTTTTTTTCTTTTTAGCTACTTCATTGAATGGTGAGAATACAATGAATTGACAGTCATGAGTTCCATCAGCATTTGCTACAAACTCGTAATGAAAGTCTATAAGTTGTGGCTGACTACCTTCTTCTTTCATCATAGGCATTGAACTTTCAAAAGTTGCTCTATAATATCTCCAACCCGTCATTCTCGCGAATATTTCATTTATCTTTCGAATGAATGAAACACATTCCGGATTAATCGGTTAGTGGTTTGGCACCAAGAAGTAGCGTCATTATTAATAAATAAAAAAATCAAAAACATAAAAGATGAAAAATGAGGATTTATATTTATGAAAATATCACTATGCTGCAGGATATATTTAAGAAACTGTGGGATAAGAGTAAAAAAGAAGGAGCGAGTAAAGTTTGGAAAGCATGCAAAGAAGGGGAAAATTGGATTTTTAAGAATAAAGAGAGCATTAGTGACGTTGCTGATCAATAACCAACAAGCTGCCCCAATAAGAGAGTTTAAATAAGGAGAAAAAGTTTTCAAAGCTTCAAAAACATACTAAGGATAAAAATATTTTAAGGGCCGTAAGCGCGAGATATCCATTAAAGATCTCATATTTATTTTCCTACGTATCATACCTCCTATTTTTATTAAGTATTCTTTCAGCAATATCCACCAACTGCGTAACCTGCTTGTGCTCCCATCGACCGGATTACCTGCTTAGTACCTATAATGACCACCTAATGAAGTTCCTGCCGTTTTGCTACTGGTGCAAAAAGTTTGCAACGGGGTTAATAATCTTTTTATGAACCAACCCGCAGCTTTCTTAATTC